AAGGTAACCCCAAAGTTTTCACCTACCATAGACTCAACCACCCCACCAAAACAACATACCAACCATAACATCCGACGGTTTAGGGTTTAGGGTTTAGGGTAACATACCAACCATAACATCCGTTGAGCAACAGACAAAGTATGTCCACACTCAGCTGAGATCATGGCACCGCCTTTGCCACTGGCGCAGAGCAACACCAGCTTGGCCGAGCTGTGCGCATCAGCCATGCTCTGCCCCCTTGGCCTCGGCGCAAGGTCTGTGGTTTCAGGCTTCGTAAGGTTTTTGCATGGCGCTTATAGTGACAACCCATACTACCACAACCCAAAGATGCCATTGCATAGATCACACATGGAATGGCAAGGCCCCTGTATTGGGGCTTCGGGTGAGACTTGGGCTTGATTACTGTACTCTACTGAATCAACAGCCCTCACCTCAGAAGCACAATCAGGATTATTGTCGTGGCAACCTACTGCTTGGGCCATTAGAGTTGCAGATAAGGGACGCGAGGCCAAGGGATTGCTGACTCTTACGTCACGAACTTGGACTGGCTCATGCGGGGCATGGCAAGTCAGTATAGTCAAGTGTGGTATAGTGTAGCACGGCATAGCATGTTTTGTATGGTATAGTATGGTATGGTATAGCATGAAATATGAAAGAACAAATCAAGTTCATGGTACACCGCAGCTTACAGCAGTTAGGACCTAAAGAGGACCTCCACAAGAGTTGACAGGAACCCTCGAAGCCTCCAAGCCAGACCCTTACACCCACAAAGACGTTGGGATATGATTGGTTCAACATGCCTAGACCCCGCACCCTAGCAAAACAGATCTCAAGCCAGCGACAGGCTAACTCCAAAGCGCCTGAACAACCCGAAACCCCCGAACCCAAATCCCACAAACTCGAATCACTGAAGCGAAGGAACCCTAAACCTAAGGGTCCATGTACCCAAATAGTATATAATTTGCCCTCCGAAGTACCGATGTGGGACTCTTTAAGGTCAGAGTATATACTATTTTGGGTACATGGACTCTTAAGCCCTAAACCCTTATTATGTTACCCTGAAAATACAACCCTTAAAGGCACCCCTTACAGGAACCCCTATTAGGGTACATGAACTCCTGGGTTATCGACAAAAGCCCTCCATGGTCCGTCCTCTAAGGACCTGACCCCAGGGGCTTGTCTTTCCTGGGATGGTTTGGGATGAGGAGGGTGGTATTGGTTTAGGGTTTATTGGGTTTAGGGTATTGGGTTTGGGAGGATTAGGGTCTATTTGGGGTTTAGGCTTTAGGGTTTGGGGGGATTGGTAAATCAGGGTCTATTTGGGGTTGTAAAGTGTTTCTTTTTCTCTGGTTTCTGGCAGAAGGGGCGTGGGAGTCGGCAGAACACCACAGGCCCAGAGGGGTTTGCATGGGCCTCCTGCCTGTTCTCATACCCGGGTTTCTTCTGCTCTCAACAAGGCTCTTATGGTAGTGTTGCTGAGTCTCGGTGGGGTTTGTTCGGGGCTCTGGCTGCGCGTTCAGGGTGAAGAGTATTGTAACCTTGGGGTTTGACTGAGGTGCGTTGCGGATTTTGTGAGGGTTGAATGGTTTCAGCCTTGAGACCTGAGCCTTAACACTCAAGAACCTACCTTTTAGGGTTCCTTATAATGATTTCCTTATATAAGTCCTTCAAAAGGTAGGTTATTTGGGGTTAAGGTGCGCCTTAGGGTCTGAGCCCCCTGGAAGAGCCAAAAGACCCCACGCCCGACTGAGGAGATCGGCTTTCGGGCTTTGGCGAACCCAGAGAGCCCAATACCCCTTAATTAAGGAATATAGCTTAAATCATAATATGAAGCCCTCTATAATTTAAGCCATATTCCTTAATAAAGGGGTATTGGGCTCTCTGGGAACCGGGCGAGGGTTGGGATCGATCGGCTAGGTCTCTGGCTTGAAGCCACGAACGAAACCACCGGAAATACCCAATCATGACGTCTGGAAGGGAATGATACTATAAGGGGTAATTAACTATGTCTCAGCAGTTCATGGTTCTGCGGCCTATTTCGGCATCTAACATCAGTTCGGAACTGAGGCTGCTTGGCGGTGCACGGTAATAGCGATGTTTGGAAATCCGAGGAATGAACGTGGCGTCGGCATAAGTGCCATCAAGTGCAGATATATGCATACAGGTATACATTTGCGCATACACGAATCGGATTCAATGTCAGCATAAGTGAATGAAAGCTCTGGGTCACGGATCCACTTCCCTAAGGCTCCTAAGAGGGTCATGGGCTTCCTGGGGGAGGGTTTGGGCTTGGGGGGCTAAGGTTGAGGATGTCACTACGAGGGTCCAGGAGCCTAAGGGTTAGTTCCAAGAAACATTGGAATGTCCTGCTTTATCGACCCAGCGTGGGAACCGGTACCCAACCACCCAAACCCTGGCCCCAACACGAGCACAACGTGTCCAGCCAGAACCCCAAACGCACAGACTATGGATGTATGCCTCTTAGTTAAAATAGCACAGATTCAGCCTCTGCCCAGAACACTTAAACCTGCGAAGCCACATGGGACCTTAATTCGGGGTCCTTATACATAAGGGTCATAATATCTAGTGTGCGGCATTAGGGCCCCCTGTTTTCTGAAACTCCCACATGAACAATGAGCAAGGTCTAAGTCTAGTCCTAGCTCGCTTCGGGCTCTAAACCTTTACAGCGACCGTTGAAGGTGTTACCCAAAGGGTCCTATGTACTGTTATGGGGGTTACTTCCCTGGATCATACTAGTAATTCCTGATATAGAAACCCTACATTCTACCATACAGGTACTTAGGACCCTTTCAGTTAGTATACAGTATACAGCGTCAAAGATAAATACGTTTAGGACTCTTGGTTTGGAACTCTACAGGCACTTCCCAAGTTGAGCAACTCACAGTCGTAAATGAAAGGCCGAGGCGCAGCTGTCGAACGAAACCCAGCAGCTGCTCGTGTGGGATCGTGCTCTGTACCTGCTGCTGGTGTGACGTATGCATATGTGTATGTATACATGCGTACATACGTGCAGACATACATACATATCTTTATAATTCAGGTTTCATGCAGGATACCTATTCTCATAGCCCGTATTAGGGACTGATAACCGCACCTAGCAAGTACCAGTGAACATCCAAGCACGGACCCGCAGTGCCCACCTGCTGGGGCAGTCCCCCTCCATTGCGGCTGGTTGTTTCCTGGCAGCGCATGGCAGCGCGTGGTTAGGCTCTGTGCTTTTTTAGCTCCTTTTTGATGTCTGCCCATCCATGCCTCTGAGCATGCTCAGGCCCGCTACAGCCAGGAGTTTAGGGTATAGGGTTTAGGGTTCAGGGTGTATGTTTTCGGGCTTAGGGTTCCGTCTTTTTTTTTCATAGTAGGGCTTATATAGAGGATTCAGGGTTTGGGGTTTAGGGGGCTTAGAGGATTCAGGGTTTCAGGATTGTGGTCTACAACGCCTAGGATGAGCAGGCTTTAGGGTTCAGAGGTTAGGCTTTCGGTTCGAAGGGGGTTAGGGGTACATCTTGTATCATGTATCGGCCAAACCCTTACGCCTTGCATAACCCCGGCACGAACCTGATCTTGTAGTTGCCATGATCTGAAGTCAACCACAGCATTCTACGGCCACGGGTAGGGCAGGTGCAGAGCCTCTTGGAGGTTCATGGGTAGTTATAAGTAGGGTTATAAGTAGGCTAACTTCACTTATAACCCATATTAGGGGACTTAGAACCCTACATGTAACTACCCATGAACCTCCAAGTCTCCAAGTATTGGATCTGACCTTGAAAAATGAAATATGGGTGAATTAACTGGCTTGGGGGCTCCTTCTGAGTTCGAGGCGCACGTCTTACCCCTGTGCCTATATCGTGTATGCATACGCCGTAAAACGGGCTCCGAAATATGGTGACTTTAAGTATAAGGCTAAAGCATTAATATAATTACGATATTCCGAAGGCTACATCCAACAACCCAACAAACCCAAAGGCTCGCATAAGTCAGCATTTCAGTTCAGAACCGAATCTGCACCAATCACTAATTGAACCCTAAGCCCGAAGTCCTTTACCCTGCACACACCTTAAAGGGAACTCCAGAAAGTTGGAATACGGAATAATGGCAAGATCCCCTATAATTTACCTTACAGGGATTCTGATAATGATATTCCAACTTTCTGGCTTCTACTGTAATGCACTGAAGTCGACACCAAAACAATTTATCAAGGCTTTAGGCCTCAAGCCGTACACCCGTTGACAAAAATGACTCAGCCATCCAAACCCCAAGCCCTGAGCCCTAAACCCCCAAACCCCGAACCCCCCAAACCCAAAAACACACACACGCCCAAGCACTAAACTCTAAAACCTCTAAATCCGATTAGGAAGCAACCCACCTACACCCCAGAACACCGAGCTCTAATCCGTCGTTCCTTGAAGCATGCAGTTAAACCCCCTAAACCCTGACCCCTTAAAAGCTAGCCACCTACATCCGAAGACACTGAGCTCTCAACTAAACCCTAAACCCTATAAGGCCTTTCAAAAGCAATCCGTATACACCCCAATAAATTGCGCTCGAAAGCTTATTCCCCCTAAACCCTACAAGCCCTATAAACCCTAAGCTATGTTCGAGCTGCCTTGTCCGCAAAAGCAAAGGCAGTGGACTCCTGAGCTCAACAGAACATGTTTAGGGCTGTAGGGGTTTAGGGGTTTAAGGGTTCAAGGGTTTAGGGCTCGAGCATACGCACAGAGAGAATTCCTCAGGCAAGCCTTGCTGTCCCTTTTCTGCAGTGGGACGCAGTGGGACCATCTGCCGGAGTGGCTTCATGACCCAGGCTTGCAGGACGTCCGCCACACGGCCGCCGACAAGCGAAACTGCGGTCAATGCAGCTGGCGGGAACCCAGTGCGCAAAACCTAGATGGTGGATTCTAGCACCTTTTGGGTCTTCCTCCTCTGATGATAGGAGCCGAGCTAGAAATATGTCGTCAAGAGCAGGTGCTACAATTCCGGGTCTAGGTGAAGTACTGTCCGAATTGGAAACCTGGCTCGGAGATGTCGTCCAGCAAAGCCTCCCAGCAGTAAACCTAGGTTCTTGGTATAAGGAACTTAGCTCAAGTAACCATAACAGGGCCTCAGGGATCTATCACACAATAGGGTTGCGTTGTACGCACTACACCCTCCCTAAACCCTAATTTCCTTAACCCTAAATCCTAAACCCTAAGTCCTCAACTCCTTCACAAGAACCGAGAAACAGGCAGCGCGGGGAGGCGATCTCGCAACTTGCCTTTAAGGTGCGGCTCATGCAAACCTAGCTTGGTCAAAGTCAAAGCAAAGCTTCAGTCCATATGGGGTTCCTTCAAAGGGATCCTTTGAAGGGTTCCTTTACAGGGATCCTTGAAGGGTTCCGTTAAAGGAACCCTTTAGAGGGTTCCGTAGAGTCCCTAAAGGGGTCTATAAGGGTTCTACTATAAACGGTTTTGTGTTTAGAGTTTCCGAAAATAGGGGACCCTAATATAGCACCCCAAATAGTAGGTTTCTTATATAAGCACCGCAAAATACGGTACCACTTGTTTTCGGAACCCCCCATAATTAATATATACGATGATGGAATTGGGCCCCCCAAACCATAATCAGGATGGTCTTTTGGTACTTAACTCCGTAATGGTGCTATGTGGACTTTTTCGCAAAAGTAGTAGACAAGACAATCTTAAGCCAATAAGTGAACCGAAAATATCAGCATTTTCAAATTGTCCACCAAGAAGCACATGTTGCGTATAAACTTGAGCAAGCACACGCTTCTCCAGTCTTTCTCCCAGGTGACGCGCTGCTCGCGGTCCAAATCACGAACCTCCTCATACCACCAGCTAGAGTTGGACTGCTGTGCTATTTGAAGAGCCTTGACGGTTCGGGTTTTAGACGTTTATGGTTTTTGGGGCTTTGGGGCTTTGGGGCTTTGGTGGTGTTTAAGGTTTTCGGGTTTTTTAGAGCTTTAGGTTTAGGGTTTACGGGTAAGGGTTGTGCTGCTGAGCTATTTGAAGAACTTTCCAACAAACGCTGTCGGTGGGCGCTGAATGCAAGGGACGACGTACACGCGCACACACACATTAGGTAAGATCCATGGGGAGCTAAGGAAATTACGGTCAGTTGCACAATCATACCCTTGGAGCGAGCTTGCGGGCTTAGGGTTCAGACTTCTAGACTAGGAGCCTACAGCTTTTATCCTAGTTACGGGCCTAGGAAAGGCTTTTGGGGAAACTTCGGGCCTGATGTACTGCATGATTCAACTTCTCGCTGATGTCTTCTGAACCTTGTCCCCAGCTCTGACTGGCAGAATTCCCCAACATGGTCAAGAAATCCATGGCGCGATCGTCTGGCCAGAAGAAAGGATGTGCCAGCAACACCTGGCGGAAGAAAACCGTTAAATCAACAGATCCCGTGTTTCACACCCTTGGGGTAGACACTCGCATGCTGGTGGTGAGATTGCCCGTCTGGTTGCTACTACCGTGAGGTGTTGCTGCCATTGTGCTATACGTCCAAAACGTCCACAGAACCGAACATGCAGGTAAACAAAAAAACCGAAGATTTAGCCACAATACAAAGAGTCAACATCGCAACGTCGCGACAGTAGAGCAATAGACGCAGCAGCTCCTAAGTAGTCGTAGTAGTAGTAGTAGTAGTAGTAGTAGTAGTAGTAGTAGTAGTAGTAGTAGTAGTAGTAGTAGTAGTAGTAGTAGTAGTATCAGTAGTATCAGTAGTAGTAGTAGTAGTAGTAGTAGTAGCAGTAGGAGTAGTAGTGGTAGTAGTAGTAATTAGTAGTGGTAGTAGTAGTAGTAGCCATCGTGGTAGAAGTAATAGCAGCACTGGAGGTAGCAGCAGTAGTAATAGCAGTAGTAGTCGTAGTCGTAGTCGTAGTCGCAGTCATAGTCGTAGTGGTAGTGGAGTAGTCGTAGTAGTAGTAGTAGTAGTAGTAGTAGTAGTAGTCGTAGTAGAAGTCGTAGTCGTAGTCGTAGTCGTAGTCGTAGAAGTACTCGTAGTCGTAGTAGTAGTAGTAGTAGTAGTAGTAGTCGTAGTCGTAGTCGTAGTCGTAGTCGAAGAAGTAGTAGTAGTAGTAGTAGTAGTAGTAGTAGTAGTAGTAGTAGTAGTAGTAGTAGTAGTAGTGGTAGTAGTAGTAGTAGAGGTCGTAGTAGTAGTAGTAGTAGTAGTAGTAGTAGTAGTAGTAGTAGGAGTAGTAGTAGTAGTAGTAGTAGTAGTAGTAGTAGTAGTAGTAGTAGAGGAGTAGTAGTGCTGGTAGTAGTAGTAGTAGTAGTAGTAGTAGTAGTAGTAGTAGTAGTAGTAGTAGTAGAAGTGGTGGTAGTAGTAGTAGTAGTAGTAGTAGTAGTAGTAGTAGTATATGATTGTTTTTGTTGTTGTTGCTGTTGCCTTGCTGTTGCTGCTGCGTTGGTGTTGCTGGCGCGGTGGTTGCTTTTGCTGGTCGTGGTGCTGATATTGTGGTTGTGGTTCTGTTGGTTGTCGTCGCATCGTCGCTGCTGTTGTTGTTGTTGTCCTAGTTGTTGTCGCTGTTTCTGTTCGTCTTGCTGTTGTTGTGGTTGTGGTTGTGGTTGCGGTTGTGGCTGTCGTTGTGGTCGTTGTTGTTCTTGCTGTTGCCGTTGTCGTCGTCGTCGATGCTGTTGTTGTGGTTGCTGTTGCCGTTGTTGCTGTTGCTGCTGGTGTTGCTGTGGTCGCTGGTGTTCCTGATGCTGGTGCTGATGCTGTTGCTGATGCTGTTACTGTTGCCGTTGCTGTTGTTGCTGTTGCTTTTGCTGCTGTTGCTGCTGCTGCTTCTGCTGCTGCTGCGGTTGTGGTTGCGGTTGTGGTTGTCGTTGTCGTCGTTGTTGTTCTTGCCGTTGCCCTTTTTTTGTCGTCGTCGACACTGTTGTTGTTGTCGTCGCCGTAACATTTGTCGGGTAGCAGTAGAGTAGCCAGTAGCCAAGCAGCAGCAACATTAGCGGTCGTTGCAGTAGTGGTGGTGGTGGTGGTGGTGGTGGTGGTGGTGGTGGTGGCGGTGGTGGTGGTGGTGGTCGTAGCCGTAGTGCTAGTTGCAGTAGTAGTAGTAGTAGGTAGTGAGCGGTAAGTAGTACGTACTAAGTAGTTAGTAAACAGTAGTAAGCAGTAGCAGTAGCAAGTAGCAGTAGTACGTAGTTGGAGTAGCAGTAGCAGTAGCAGTAGCAGTAGCAGTAGCAGTAGTAGTAGTAGTAGTAGTAGTAGTAGTAGTAGTAGTAGTAGTCGTACTAGTATTAGTAACAGGCTGCTGTGGGGCTAATTCAATATGTACAGGTTCGCCAACAACCCAACATTGCATGCCAATGCAGATGATGCGTTGAATTCTGGTGTCGGGTGGATTGGCTTGATAGGATGAAGAGTCTTGCAGGGATAAGATATACGGCTCCGTGAGGGACGTGTCGAATCTGTGGCCTACCCCAAGACTTGGTTTGACAAAATACAGAATACAAGGAATTTACGGTGCTTCCTGCCTTGATATTTGTTGCGGGTAGAACCTTTAATACGTAGATACTCAATACCGCGGTGTCGTACCCGTTGACGTCTGACTATACATGACCTTGAACACATTATTATATATACATTACTCAGGAATAGAAGTGCACGGTACTTTGTAGTGTATTGCTGCGTGTACTTTTCAAGTGTTTGAAATTGTTAGAATGTAAATATGATACAGAAAATGGTCTGCAAAACCCCAGGCCCCACAGCAACCTGCTCTCTAGTAGTAGTAGTAGTAGTAGTAGTAGTAGTAGTAGTAGTAGTAGTAGTAGTAGTAGTGGTAGTGGTAGTGGTAGTGGTAGAGTAGCCCTCGTACTACTGTAGTTGTCGTAGAGCAGTAGCAACCAGCATCAATTGTAGCTGAAGCATCAGCAGCAGCAACAGAACAGAAGTAGCAGCAGTCGCAGAAGAAGAACTAGGCGTAGGAAAAGTGGAGCGAGTGTTCATGCGATGAGTAGTGGTCAGTGGTCGGCCTGGTAGAGCCGTGATACATCCTGCAGCTTGTCGGAATACGCCCGGCACTGTTTGTCGCCGTGCGTCAGAGCTTCGACGAGTCGAATGAAGGCGTGCCTTCACGGGTGCCCACTTGGAGACAAATACAGCGGAGGGCTTCTGGCGAGGAAATGAGATTGACAGGAACCTATGTGCGACAGAACTGGCATGATTACCCGTTTCGTACCTATGTGGAGCACTATGCAAAACCAGCCTCTTGTATCCGGGCCACTGCGCCGGCACCTGCTCTAGGTCAAGCTTCCTGTCCCCCATGCTGGAGAGACTTGAATCCTTCAGCATCATGGCAATCATCACACGGCCAAGAGAATACAGGTCACTGGTCTTGTGAAGAGTCGAATAGAAAAGCACCTCCGGTGGGGTGAACTGCGGGCAACTGCCACATGTTGGACTGAACAGCTGTGCTTCATCCTCGTGCAGAGCCCGGGCAATGCCGAAATCGGACAACCGTATATTGCCTTTGCAGTCGATCATGATGTTGTCCGGCTTGATATCTCGATGCACATACCCTTGATCACCCACCGGGTTTAAGCGGCTTAGGATGTCGAGGAGGCTGCTCGAAATGGAGCAAACCACGTCCAGGTGTCGCCCATCATTCAAATCTTCCCAGGTAGACATTGCCTCCGGGGGTTTGAAAGCATGGACATAACTGTTTAACAAAAAGCTTAATTCGCTTTGGTGTGGGTCTAAACATCGACAGATTCATCGATAGGTTGCTAGTTAGATAGCTAGACAGATAGATAGGTCGGCCGATAGACAGATAGACTGATAGATGCAACTCTGCATTGCAAGAACTGTTTATTACTATCTACGATAGAACTTGTGGCTCGTCATGTTCTTCGCGCCTCCTGAAGTGTCCCTTCCATCAGCTCCAGAATCACCACCTGGACTCGCTCCTCTCGCCGGCGCTTCGTGGACCTGCGCTCCTCATACCAGACGTTGCTTTGCTCGAAGGACGTGATGTACTGCATGATGCCAAAGACGGCAGCGTTCTCTTTCATGGCTCTGACCTCTTTGCTGAAATGCTCCGAGCCCGTCCTGTCCCTGTAGACTTTGATCGCCACTTCTCGGCCATCAGAGGGGACGATGCCAAGGTAAACTTTCGCGTGCGAACCTACGCCTATAAGTAGATCCGGGTGATAGAAGACATTGCCGTCTTTCTTGTACTCAGCCTCAACTTCCATGGATCGAAACCATGAGTGAAACAGGTGCCTGTACCTGTGCGATTGGCCAGGATACCACTTGTCGAAAAGGCGTTTCTTTACTTCCTTGGTAAATCCTTCTTCCATTTCGGCTCTGTACTGCTCCAGCATCTCGCATCTCTTGTCCTTTGCGGCTTCTTTTGAAACATCGGCACACATTAGTGTTTGTATTCTCGAACCTGCAAAAACATTGAACCCGGACCCCTTGCCTCAAAATCGATCCCCCGGACAGCTTGAGATGCAGAGCCCCTAGCCGATCACGGAAATCTTGAAAACCTTCCTGCACTTGCAAAGCTTGCTTATCACAGTATCCAATGTGGTACCTGTTTTTGGTCTATCCAGTTTGTAATTACTTAGGATCCTAATAAGTAACCGCAAAAGGAGCTACAATGGAGACTCTAGGCAATTCCGAACACCTCTTACCCTCTAAACCCCTAAACCCTAAACCCCAAAACCCTAAACCCCAAAACCCTAAACCCCAAACCCTGAACGAAACAAAACTCCTCAACACTTAACACCGCGGAGGCGCCCTGCGACTCGAAGGCGGCACACACCATGGGTTTCCACACCGCGGCGCCTGGGTCCAATCTCCGGGGTTGAAATGGCCCCTGAGCCGCTACCCTGAGGCCCCATACTATTGATGATATAAATCCTGCATGACCTTAAGGACCCTAGACTATGGGAATTGTGGTAGATTCCTTGTTTTGGGTAATGCAGGATTTATACCATCAACCGTAGCAGTTCCTTTTTGGGGTTCATACTTAGAATCTTATGAGGTCATCCCAACAAGGAGCTACTATGGGGCCTCTACCTGTAGTCTCCATTGTAATTAGTTCCTTTTTTGGGTTAACCACTTTTATGGCTAGGATCCTATATGGGGATTTTGGTAAACCATAAAAAGGAACTACAATGGAGACTATAGGTATTTACTCAAATACTAGGTTACTAACCATGGGTTATATGACCCAGCAACCGATTATTCAGGCAACTGGAGCCCGAGGGATGTTTAGGATTCACGGCGTCCGGGATCGGATCCAAGTCAAGGAGATCAAGTCAGCAACTGCTATACCCCCCTTGGAACCGTAGTAAAATACTAGTTGTTGATATTCTCTTGGGTTTTATCGGAACAAAATAAAAAAATCCTAAGGAGACTGTACTGTGGATTCGATACCAACTACGACCCCAAGCTGACAAGTGCTTAGGCAAAAATATTCACCCACAACAAACAGACATATCCGCAGCTACACCTTTTGCCTAAAGCCGGAAGCCTAAGTACTAAACCCAAGCGCAGAACCCTAAACCCCCGAACCCTAAACCTCAGAACCTCAAATCCCATAGGCGGGATCCAAAATTATAGAAATCTGCAGTACCCTTGAAGGGGGACCCTGTTAACAGTGACCAGGCGCTGGCATCCGGAGCAAAGGAGCTGCCGGCGTTGGAGCCGCTTCGACCTACTGGTAGGGGCCTTAAGAATTTGACAATTGTTCCTTTCATGGCTCCTTTAACGGGTTCCTTGAAGGGGTTCCTTTAGGGGGTTCCTTTAAGGAGTATTCTACGGGTTTAAATGCCAGGGCCTTAATAATTAGAATAAGGTCTTTGCGCACTTTTGTAGTGTAAGTCTGTATATGTATCAAAAGTAACCCTCGGGAATAATCTTTGTATTTATTTTGGATTCTACATGTGTTTGTTCTACACAGCTTTAGCCCAGATCCGTAAACCCTAACCCCAAAGCCATGTCTGGACCCCTGCACAAATCCTAACCCCATGTCCTAAGCCCTAGGCCCTACACACTTTAACCCTGAACCCATACCTGCACCCTCGAACCCTAAACCCTAAAGCTTATGCCCTTACGAGGCCGACCGGACATTGGTTCTGAAATGCTTTTGGTCTGGAGGGCTTTTGGTGAAAGGCGTCTTTTCAGCGCTTTGGGAAAGCCCTTTCATGTACTTTTTCGGTATCGGCACTTTGGGAAAGCCCCTTCGCTTAGAAAAGGACGAGGGAGGACGTGACGTTGGACCAATCTGTATATCGTCGGGATCCGTTCCCTATTCCCTATACTAGACAAATCCATCAAAAAACTCGCTCGTTCGGCCTTCCGACGGTAGTTGAGGCCTTCATGTCTTTATAGGGTGTATGAAGAGCCCTTCGGTTCCTACTTACTGGATTCCTGAACATTGCTGTGCCTTCTGCAGGCTCTGTTTCGCTGAGGCTCATTTCGCCTTGTGGGGTGGGCCTTAGGGTTACTTTCCGGGCAGTTCTCTAAATTAGGGTCCTTTTACTGTCCTTTTAGTAAGGTGCCGTACTAGTTTGGGGATCTAGAAAGGAATCGTAATTTAGAGAACCAACTACCCTTGTTCTGGCAGCCCCATTTGCCTGCCGGAAGCAGAGGTTGGCGGGCTTGATTAGCAACATCTTGTTCTGCTCCTCCGTGCCCAATGATGCCATGTTCCAGTATTGGAGAACGGCAAGGTGAGCCCGGCCCAGAACAGTAGGATACCTACTACGCAGAAATTGCAGGAACACAAAGCTTTCTAAACCTTGAACATGCAAGTAAGGGGCCTTAATAATTAGAGTAGGGTTTTGGCAATTTGGGGCCCACTATACAAAAAACATGGTAAGGAAGCCCCAAAATAGTATTGGTAATTATTTAAGCCCCTCGAGTAGGGTTGGGGAAATCCCTACAAGCCCTCGAATAGCCGAATCTTAAGAAATCCCCATAAGTCCTGGTAGTTGAGGAGCTTGACCTGGCCCATATGGATGATACAACAGAACATAGCAAGATATAATGTACCAGATATTATGGTGTAGTCTAACTTTAACTTACCGGAAGATATGGGTGGTACAACAAAATATAGCAAGATGCTGTACCATATAATATGGTTTAGTTTAACGTAGCGGAAGATAATACAGTAAAACAGAAGTAGTTCCTACCTTCATAGCTCCCCCCGGCCAGGATTCCCCTTGGGCTAGGTTTTGGACGTTGTGGGATTTGGGGTTTCAGGTATAGAGCGTTGAAGTTTAGGTTCAGGGCTGAAGGTGTGGAGTTTTGGATTAAAGCTTCGGGGTTTACACGTTTACTGCAGTTTCCTTGTTTTGGGTCCGAGGGTACAGGAATCAGGGGTGTGCAAGGGGTATGCAGGGCAGGCGCCTGACGAGCTGGTTGCTTCTCAGACCGGCTTGTCACAGGGACCCTTAGGGGGGTAGGGAGGAGGTATGTGTCCTTAAGATGGCCATTAAAGCCCCCTACTCCCCTAATGGTCCTTATGGCTTACTCTGAAAAGCCGAAACCCAAAACTCCCACAGGAGGGGTGACATGTACTGCATGGATAAGCAACCCTCTTACCTCGCTCAGAAAGGGCGTTGCATGGTGAAGCACCAACATCTCGAGCCTGCCATTTGCCGCCAGTCTGAGACACCAGTTCTGCAACGAGGCCGTTGAAGTGTGGAGAGTTTGCAAGACCTGAATCGTCCAAGCTTAGGGAAACTCGAAATGGCCTGCGCCTCTCTCTCTCTCTCTCTCTGTCTCTCTCTCTCTCTCTCTCTCTCCCTCCCTCCCTCCCTCACTCACTCTCGCACTCACACACACACACACACTTCATCACTTTCTGGTTCCTGGTGTACAGATGCATGCATGCACGGACAATCTGGCAGAATGCTGAAGTATATGCCACGCAGCACTGTACACCCATGGACAAATTGATTTGCATTCTCACGTCCACATCTGCATACATGCATACAGCTTGGCACACTCAACACACAGTGCCAAACCTGAAACCCGACATCCAATCCAACAACAAACTTTACCAACCTAAACTCGTCCTTCCTGATCGCAAGCCCTTGTTCCGACCTGGACCTTCCCCTCTAGTTCCGGCCTCCCTTCTGAATCTGTAGCAGCCTAGTACTGAATGTTTCAAGCAGCCAGTGATTTCGACTTCTTCGCCGACTTCAAAGCCGAAGTCTTCGTCAAGCTCCTGTGTTTGAACTTACAAGCTTCATGGCGCCGAGTCGGAGGCTCATGGTAGAGGGACTTTTACGCTTTTTCAACCGGGTTTTGGATGCTCGGGCTTCAGGGCCGTAGATGTTCAGAGCATGAGGGCTCAGCAGCTTTCTGATTGGCGTTTTGCGGCTTTCGGATCTATGCACCTTCAGAAAGCGCTGATGCGCTAAGCCTGAGGCATCGGGTCGCGTAAGGCCGCCTTATGGGGTTTAGGGTCAAGGGCTTTAGGGTCAGGGCGTTGGGATCGAGGATTCCGGGGTTCAGGCCAAGTGCTGCATGATTTAAACAGCGAGGATCTGGGGGGGGAATGAACCAGCTCTGCTCAACCGTCGTGCCTCACGATGACGGCAGTGTAGTGGCTGAAAGGAACCTATACAGCCCAAAGGGGCTGCGAGTCTCAAGCTTCATCTAACATCGTATACACTTATGGTCTTAAAGTGGGCTTCATATAGGTAGTTGGTGGCCAGAGTATACAGGGTCGATGTGCCCAAAAAGTATTTAATATATACTTTGAAATTACCCTTTGGCCAAAAAGTAATCTCGATGTAGGTACTGTGGGGACGAAGTATATACTGTTTGGGTACGGGGTACCCTTAGGATTCTCGAACAGGGACAGCGAGGAGAGGGAGCGGGTGCAACAGGAGAATGGAAAGATGGAATGAACACCCGCCCCTTTGGGCCTCTTCGATCCATTGCTCTAGACTTCAAACCCCGAAACCCTAAACCCCAACCCCTGAACCCTGAACCCCGAGGCCCCCCCAACCCTAAACCCCGAGGCCCCCCAACCCTGAACCTTCCCAACCCTGTATCCCCGGCTCCCGTGCGCCTCGTGCACTGGAGGAATCTCCTGCTGTGGCTCGTTCACCGGCTGCGCCTTGTGCATAATGAACCGGGAGTGTCCAAGTACTCTTTCTATTATAGGACTTCAGGGCCTTTGTAGGTATCCATGTATCCCTATAAAACGTGTGTGTGTGTGTATATATATATATATATGTATATGACTTTAGGGCCTTTTGAGGTATCAACAAGAATAAATAAGGACCACTTGGACCCTTAGGGGACTGCATTGTCATCCATGAGCATGTCGAGGATTGCTGCTGCTGATCCTCCTACTACTACCACCACTACTAGTCGTAGTAGTACCATGATGACAATGAGGAGGGCGAGGAGCAGGAATAATCAGACACTGATGATGATTTCATGATGATACTGAAGGTGATGGTGACAATTAGGATGATGACAATGGCAACGACGATGATGTCGATGATTCAGATGACAACGGTGACAGTGTTTGCTCACGAGCTTGAAGCCTTTCGGCGAGAAAAGAGAAGTTGTCCTTCTTGCGTCTGTGGTTCCGGGTGCGGTGCGACACGTTACCGTTGCAAGATGCCCAGATCGCGATGGTGATAACGATGAGTTTGCTGATGATGGCGATTGTAGTGGTTTGTGATTCTGATGGTACCCTTGGGGGCTGAATACCCTGGCCCCGAAAAAATTAACCTTTTGACTTTTCGCAGGATTATATGAACACCAAAAGGCTAAGGGTTTCCTGCTCAGCTACTAAGTACGTGAGAAGGGCTAGCGCCGCTTGTGCCAGAGGGGCCTTAATCATCAGAATAGGGTTTTGGGGCCCGATGATTAGAATTGAATAAGGAACCCCCAAGGTGTAGATCCCTTGTAGACCCCTTTAAAGGATCCCTTTAAAGGGAACCCAGAGTAAATATAAAGGCCCCCATGCTACCATCATGGAGCCTAGTGGGATGCCGTTCGCTCATCTTCAGTGCTCTGTGAGCATACCTAAACTCTAAACTCTACACCCTGAACCCATACTCCCTAAACGCTATAAACTCTAAACCCGGTGGACCCTAAACCCTATCAACCCTAAAGCCGGATCAACAAAGCAAACAGAGTCTCTTTAGTCTCGCTCAATACCTCCATCTCACTAAACTTGGACCAATCCTCAAATGCTCTACAAGCTGTTCAGTACGTCTTGGTGGATACTGCACGCCCTGGCCCACAACAACACTGTAACAACACAATGCTGGAATGCTGGGATTCCCCTAAACCCAAACCTCAGAATTCAGTGCGTAGCCCACAAGCCGTGCAAGCCAGCAACCTGAACTCATGATGCGAAACCTACACCCCCAAAACCCTGACACCCAATAGGTCGGTACCATCAGCACTAAACCACGTGTCCCGAAGATGGGCGAAAGCAACCACAGTGAGGCCTCAGAGAATTAGGGTGCACTCTCCCTTCTCAACCCTTAGCCCTTGCTGCCTTAACTAGACACCCTAAAACCTGAGGCCCGGAACTGTCCGATGACGCGAAAATTTCAGAATTGCCCCCAAAGAAGGTTTGGGTTTAGTGGTGTTCTTTTAGTTTTTTTTTTTTTTTAATCTGTGTCATACAATCGCGACTTTACTTATCAGGACCTTACACTCTCAATCCTCTTCTGCCTGCGCCGTCGCTGCCGATGACTGAGGTCTCGCAGGCGAGGCACTTCGATTTCGCTTGCGGCCTGCAGTGGGCCTGGCGCAGCACGGGCCAGTTCAGGGGTGTATGGTGCACCTAGAGTAACCAATGTACCTTTTCAAAAGGATATGACCCTAAGACATCACCACATGCGACAGTTTTATGGTGTTCAGGCTGATTCGGACTCATGAACACAAACGAACAAATAAACCAGTAAACACATGAACATGAAAGCATGAATGAACGAATGAATAAGTGTACATGTATACGTTTGTAGGTACATGGTTATAATACAAACATGCATGCATACACATATGCATATACTGTTACAGATACATGTGCATTTGCACAGACATATACATCGACATATACTTCATACGTGCAAACATGCAGGCATAAATACATGCATACATTGTTATAATGTATATAAACATATATATATATATATATATACACATATATACATATATATATATATATACATACATACACACACAAACACAAATATCCTTACATAGCAGGGCTTGGTGCTTGTAGGGCTAAAGGCTGCGGCTGGACCAGGATTCAAGTATTACCCAAGACGCAGCAAAGTCTACTGCATAGGAACTGGCGGCCGGATCTGCTGGCAGAACTGCCTATACGCCTCCTCGGTAATCTTCCCGTCGCTGAACGCCTTCTCAGCAAAGCCCTGCAACTCGTTTAGGTCCGCATTGGGGGTGCGGGCGATGTGGGTCTGAACGCATTGGAAGCACCCGGCTTCGGCGGACCACTGTGCTTTGAAGTGGTTCAACTGAGCCTGTCGCGGCTCTGCCTCACGGATTGGGATTTAGGCTTCGTCTTTGCGGGATGTATTTAGGGCTCATAAGGGGCTTAGACATAAAGCCCCAAGCCCCACACCCTGAACCCCAAGCCCGAAAACATCTCTATGAATTCAAGGCACCGGTAGGTCGAGTAAAGCTTCGACTCTCGTATTGAGGCGACGAGGCTCCACGTGCGGATATTTGCTGCAAAATCCGGGCTGAGCTGCCATCCCTACTCTTGAGCTAGAAGGGCTGAGCTGGCTGGGAGATCATGTTGATGCACTGCTGCACGCACCCAGTCACATGCAGAGCTGTGTACGTGCGTGCTTCCCTGTGCACGTGCAATTATTTGCATGCCGGTTTGCATGAAACTCCTTCTGCCCGCCCTGCCCTCCTTCCACCAACCTGCTTTCTCTACAGGCAAGCAGAGGCCTGTCCATCTGCCTTTGCGTTCTTGCTCTGCGTGTGTGCGTACATATATATATATATATATATATATAAGTAGACATACACATGCACACGCTCATAAGCTTGTTTGACTATGTGGCTGCTCATGTGTTTATGTGTTTGTTGGAGTGTTTGTTCATGTACAAGGGTCTTGCATATGTGTATACATACACGCATGCATGCATACATACATACATAAATGATCATAAATGCATACGCACATGCATGCATGCATATATCCATGCAAATAAAAAACTGAATGTATATATATATATGTATATACATATATACATACATATATCCATCCCCCTCGCTCTCTCTCTCTCTCTCTCTCTCTCTCCATCTGTCTCTCTCTCTCTCTCTCTCTCTTTCTCTCCCTCTCTCTCTCGTTCTCCTTGCTTCGCTTACTAGATCGTGCGTATGGGCTAGGTAATAATGTGCGAAGTTTTAATATCTTCTCAATACATCTGGATGCACGTGTCGTTTAGATGTCTGCTACTAGCATGCGCATGATAAGCAAGACATACACGCATCACTCATCAATATTCAAAACCGTAAAGACACTCACCCGAATACCCCACATGGGTAGGTGCGGGTCGACTGCTTGAGTAGGTACTTTCTGTCTCTATGACTGCCCGATCTGTTCTGCAATGACCGATGAACCCTCACACCCTATGCCTCCAAACACAATGAACCCTACACCCAAAACTCTAATTCTTAAACCCTACTCCAACTCATCTGGAGCACGCTGATGTTTGCCCTCCGCCCTGGACCGCTAACATCAATTACACTTTGGCACCTTGGCTTTCAATAGGGAGTGTTGTAGCGGCTACTATAATGGCCGGTCATAGGGATTCATTCCGCATTCCCTACTAAGAACCAAGGTGATGAGGCCGCAAGTGCGCTGATGGCTTAGTCGAGGTAGCCTAACCAAAGAAGCACCCCAGACTCAGAAGTACTACCACACAGCTACAGCTAAAGGAGGTATTCCATCAGGACAGCCGTGCAGAAGCCAACCCCCAAACAATCCTCACTTAGCCAAGCTCTAGACCCTGCGGTCTCATGCCTAAACCGAAAACGTTCCATCTGGACCGATATGGATGCAGCACTCGGGCTGCTTTGGGTTTATGTTTTTGCAGCAGGTGATGAAGGTTCCGAAAGATTTTGGCATCAGCAGTGAGGAGCCAGACCCTCCTAAAACGGTTTAGGGTCTAGGAAAACCCTAAGCCCCAACTAACCTTGTAAACACCTGCACGATCTGAAACTGCATCAAGCCCGGATGCCGAGAAGCCCTCGAAAAGGGGCTTTGGATTTAGGGTTAGGGGCCTAAAAATTTTGGGTTTAGAGATGCTTGTCCAACCCCGGAACGTCTCACTCCCGGATCCCTTGCTTACGGCTTGCTCAATGCGAATCTCCACCTTAATCTAAGGAAGAACTCTCCTTTTTAGCTGCAGTATTAGGGTTTATTAGCAACAAGTAGGATATGGTAGGCTAAGGTACAGCCTATAGCAACAAAGCACAGCCAAGCTCACAGAAAGGGTGGCTTGTTCATCAGTGGCCTATGTCGAACTCAAGCCCTGCAACCTGCAAGCACAAACATCTGAGCGAATCATGGATTATGGTCTTTGGGTTAAGGGGGGGCAAGAAACCTACAACAAAATCTATCCCTAAACCTCACCTTAACCCGGAATAACCTACCTTTGAAAGGATGTATATAAGGAAATTCTACTAAGGAACCCTGCAAAGGTAGGTTATTCAGGGTTAAGGTAAAGGTAAAACCTAAACCCCAGATTCTACGTTACCTAGTGCAGAGGAGATCATTGGGCAAAGTCTCTGCCGGCTCGTCGACCAGCTTTGACTGGGCCGCCTGGCTTTCCGTGTCGGGCCACAGACTTTTAATGCCGAAATGGACGTATAGGATGTTCGAAGCGATCCTAGTTCCGTTGAAGGACTTTGGATCCTACTCTTCGTTGAAGAAATCTGGAGGGACTGCACTGTGTACCAACTGGAATGGGAATGAGAGGTCGGGTAGCGGGTGTTCAGGGCCTCCTCCATCTACAAGGTGCACGGAGACTTTGTTTACTGCGGCAACAGCACTTTCGGGTTTTACTACGGTCAGGGACTTTTGGGTGTAGGGTGTCGTGTGTCTTCAGGTTTGTAGGCTTCCAGAGGAGTTTCACAGGTTCACTAGTCACCAGGGTAGCGGTTGGGGTTTGCGGTATAGGGTTTGACGTAAAGTCCTCTTGCAATGACAATATTCAAGGACATGTTCATTATACTCAGGCAATCTGCAAGGTCTTTCCCGGAGTGCTTCTAACTGTTGTTTAACTTTTGTAAGCTAACTCGAAAAGGAACAGCAACTTTGACGCGAATTGTCTTATTCAAACAATGCATACCTTAACGGTCCATAGCCCTTACAATATACAAAAAAATAATGGGTTGTTGTCTAAATTACGGTCCTTTTTCGGGTACCTTGAAAATTAGATGCCGTATTATAATAAGGACCCAAAAAGGACTCTAATATTGACAACCATCCATATAAGAGCCCTACGGCCCCTTAACGTCAAGCGCCGGTAACCTCAGCACTCCGTCCTTGCCTCCTTGGCTGCCGCTTCAACCTGCGCCGACCAGCGTCCCAGCCTGCTCAAAGAAGCTGCATGCGGGAATATGACCCCGCCTTAAACTACCGAAGCCCGCTGATAAATCCCACTAGCCACACTAGTTAAGGCAGTGGCCGGGCTAAAGCTTAGAGGGCATCAGCGGTGTGCAAGGGTCAGTCTAAGGTGGGCCTTGGATGTAATGTGGTTACATGAAAGTTACAGACTTCAGGGACTCAGGGCTGGATGATTCTGAAAGGTCCTTGAAACCTGACACCCTAAAACCTAAACCCTGCCTTAACCCGAAATCCTAAACCCTAGTCCCTGAAATCTGCATCCCGAACCCTGAAATAAGGTGTACAAGGCACAAGAAGTCCCTGAACCCTAGTCCTGAACCCTACATCCTGAACTTCCTGAACCCCAAGGGTCCAAGCACACGATAATCATATAATTACTCTCCAAAATCCTAACCTACATACCTACTATCCTAGAACCGAATACCTAACTATTGGGTCCTTTGGACCCTTGGGGGAACCCTTTCTTAAGGCGTCCAAGGCACAAGAACGCCGCCGCCGCGCCAGCTCCGCTGATGGCGGCAACGGCTGCCAGGTGCCTATCAGAGAAAGTGTAAACCATGTTGCGGTTCCCTACCCTAAGGCTTCTAAAGGGGTTAAGGGTTCCTTTAAAGGGATCTATAAGGGTTTAGGGTTTAGGGTTTATATAGGGTTTTGGTTCCCTACTTGGAGGGTCGGGGGACTTAGTAACTGGTTATTTTAGGGACTTATAAGTACCATGACCCCAATTAGGGTCCCTTTTAGGGCACTTATAAGTCTACCCTAAGGCTCCAAAGAGGGTCTTGGGCTTTGTGGGCGAGGGTTTGGGCTTTGGGGGCTAAGGTTTGGGATTTCGCTACGAGGGTCCAGGAGCCTAGGGGAAACTCCATGTACTCAAATAGGGTTTTTATTAAGGGTTCCTTTAATGGATCTGTAAGGTAAGGGCTTAGGGTTTAGGATCTAAAGTCGCTCGGCTGACTTCTGAACCCCTCCAAAAAGTTGAACCTTTAGCCTCCTTACCATAGTGCATATTATAAGAAACCCCAAAAGTTAGAGTCCTAAGAGCCAACCAGAAGAACGCCAAGTCATCATGTTGCAGTTTCCTTAGAAGGGTCCATGTACTCAAAATAGTATGTACATAGGCTAAAGAAGTCCCTATATAGGTGCTTTGGGGCCTATTTGTAGTCCCTGTGTAGATACTTTGGGGCCTATTTGGGTACATGGACCTTTAAGGGCTAGGTACCAGAAACTTCGGGCTTCCGATTAGCAAGGGTTTAGGGGTTTAGGGTTTAGGGGTTTAGAGGTTTAGGGTTTAGGGGTTTGGGGTTTGGGGTTTAGGGTTTAGGGTTTAGGGGTTTGGGGTTTAGGGTTTAAGGTTACAGACTTGGAATTCTGCTTATACTGACTGACTTTGGCTATGACAGTTCAGTGTGTCGTACGTCGGTTCGCTGTCACTAGCAGTCACTAGCATCGTGGCCGTGAGAATGACCATCGTAATGCTGATGATTGTCGAAGTTAATGTATCATGATCAACAGCATCAGCAGCAGTATCATCGCTCGAGAGAGGGCTGCAGCATGAAATCGCTATTAGTCGTATAGCCACTCTCAAAGAAAGACGCCGCACAGAACCGTCCAACACCCCCCAACCCCGAATAAACCCTGAACCGGGTCCTGGCGGCCCAAGCATCAGCGGACATGGCGATCCGCAAGCAACAGTGCTCCACTCGGTACTTCTAATTTCGGCGGCCCTTAAGCATTCAAAAACCATGAGGGGCGACACATAACTTTGATGGCTGCGGGCTTGTAAGAAAGCTTCATGAAACTTAAGTGGGTGTCGGCGTCGGTCACATCTTCCCGATCTGTAAAGAGAGCTGGAGGCACCAGATGGGGAAACTTATAGAGGTGATGCTGTCGTCTGCAGCAAAAGCTTGCGAAGAGCGATGCGAGATGCGAAAAACATGATCTGATTAGCATCCGTCCAGCGGTACATTGCCACTGGCACGGCTGTACAAAACCATCATAACCCCAAACCGAATCCTTAAACCCTAAATTCGTAGCGACACCCTAAACCCAAAGCCCCTAAACCCTAAACCCAAAGCTACCCTAAACCATGAAGGACACCCCGGCCCCAGTCAAGTACCTGTAAACTTATGCACCATAAACCAAAAAAACATGGTAGCATGGTTTTATACTCTAAGACGCAAACCCCCTTGAACCCGGAACCCAGACAAGGGGGGGGGGGTTAGACGTTTTGAGGGCATCCTTTAGGTAGTTCCTTTTTGATAGGATCCGAACGGTAAAGCTGGCTAAGTCCAAAAAGGAACCAAAATGGAGACTACAGGTAGGGTTTATGTAGGTTTTCAGGTTCAGGATTTAGGGCCTAGGCTAAGGTTGATTCGAGGCTTTCGAAGTTCTGCTGTGACATGGTATCTCAATATTGCTGCGCTGCTTAAAGCCTAAATGTGCTGAACACCTGGCATATAACGTCTCCTGAAACTCCTTAGACGCACTACAGTTCCAAATTCCTGAACTCAAGCCCTGTTACATATCTTAACCTTCCAACACAGTCCAACACAGACACCAATCCCCTCCCAGCACAGAAGTCCCAAACCAAAACCTGAACCCGAAACACCCACGCAGCTCCAAGCCACAAACCGCACGAACCAGCAAAATGCCTCCTCAAACCTCCGACCCGGACCCAAACCCAACAACCAAAGCCCTAGAAACATTAAACCCTAAACCCTAGAAGCCCTAAATCTAAACCCTAGACCTCATGCAAGCTCTCAGCCTGAAACACCAAACCCTACGTCCTACAAAACCCTAAACGAAAACCCTGAACCGCAAACCCAAAACCCCAAAACCCTAAGCCCTAAAACCTACCTGGACCCTATAAATAACCGACCTTTTGCAAGGACTTAATTATATGAGTATATCATAACAAGGATCTCTAAAAAAGGTAGGTTAATTTCGGGCCCAAGCAAGCCCAAACCTCAGGACCATCCCGGCACCCTTAGGCTGAGCTGTGCACGTCAAGGCCAAGGCTCTGTGGGTCCTGCTCCGAACTTCGCGCGTTTACAGTAGAAGCCCCGCCCTTTTAAGGGATCTATAATGGCTCCTTTAAGGAATCTATAAGGTACCATAAGGGTTTAGGGTTTAGGGTAGGGTTACAGTAGAAGCCCCAACAGTTGGAAACCCGAGAGCCTCAACCCTTGAGAGTATGTAATTTATAGGGAATCCCAGCATTATTTGGCCTGAATCCGGTTTCCAACTGTAAGGAGTTTACTGTAGGGTTTAGCTTTGGGATTTAGGGTAAATGACAGGGCTTCGGGCTTAGCCCATAAACCCTAAACCCTACACCCTAAACCCTTAGGGCTCATGCTTTAGATGTTCTGCATTCATAGGGCACAGGGTTTATAGAGTGTAGGGATTCTGCATTCACAGGGCTTCGGTCTCGGGACAGGGTTTTAGGGTTGCAGTTCCCCAAGGGGCTCTGTGGAGCGGCTTCACTTCCGAGCTTCAGCTCGGCCTTTATGTCTTTGTATTTCCTTTAACCTAGGGTCAGAAAGTCTAAGATCTCTCTCTCTTATATATATATATATATACGTTCAGTGCTTCGGGTCTGGGGTTAGGAGGCTTAAGGGCTGTTCGTTCTTGTAACCGTAACTACTAACCCTACTTGCAAGCCTATGCAGTACTCTCTGACTCCCAAGCAGGAACATGGAGCTGACGGCGCGCAAGCGGGGAGTCTTGGACCCTCCAGCTCAGACTTTAGAACTTTACCGATAGTCTGCATTGTGGTTCCGTTTTGGGGTGATAGGTGGGGCTCGCACTGCAAGAATCATTGGACGCAGTGCGATGAGGGCTTGTAAGTAAGGTAGCTGCGGCCTCTTGATCTTCTTTTGCATAACTCCAATTCAGGTACTTCTAACCCAAGCTACTAAGCGACCTGATCACGTACTACCATTACATACTACTCCGACGACTACAACTAATATTACTCGTACTGCAACTAATATCATGACTCTTACAAATACTATTCTTTTTGTGATGGCTGGAGCTTGGACACAAAAACTAAACAGCGCTAAGACCAAACTCAGACCTACCTAGAGTAACCCAGGGTGTAGGGCTGCTCAGCATTTGACGACCTCCATAATCTCTACTTGGGCAGGTCACACCAGTCAGCTCCCGTAAATATCATTCCAGCCGTGTTTCGGGCCCAGACATCGAACGCCCTTTAACCCTAAACCCTAAACCCTAAACCCCTAAACCCTAAACCCTAAACCCTAAACCCTAAACCCCTAAACCCTAAACCCCTAAACCCTAAACCGTTTTAGGGTTTGGCCTTCGGAAGCCTGTGGTCTTGTGGTAGCAATACTGAATGTGCAGGCCGTCCCTGGACACCCTAAACCCTAAACCCTGAACCCCTAAACCCTAAACCCTAAACTCTGAATCCCTAAACCCCTAAACCCTAACCCCTAAACCCCTAAAACCCTAAAGCCCTAAAGCCCTAAACCCCCTAAACCCAAACCTGCTTTTTGTGCTCGCTTGTGGTCAAACGGTCCCAGGCTCCGGTACTCGGAAACTAAGTGTCGGGCCACTGTCCCGGTCCTGCCGAGCTGAGGCTTAGGTCCACTTCTCGGTGTTGGGGTCTGTCTGGGAATGCGTAAACTAAGGACCGTTTTATTAAATCAATAGTGTTTAAGGGGGATCTTGTAGTGTATATGTGGCGGAAACCTAAAGGCATAGTTTTGGTGCTTACTAGATAGAAGATTTGGGTCTGGGAGATCCTCTCAGCGGACGCCTTGAACTGTTGCCACAGGGTGCTTCTGTGGCATGTATCAGCCTAGATCTTGAAGCCCTGAACCCTAAACCCCAAAAACCCTAAGCCACTACTGAGTCTGAGCCTCCGGAGGACTCATCTTGTGCATGGGGCTTGTGGGGGGAGGTGGGCAGGGGGAGCGGGGGTGGGGGGTGGGGTGGGTCTAGGGTTTTAAGGTTCAAGGTTTAAGGTTTAGGGTTTTGGTTTTAGGGATAGTTAGGATTCGGGCTTTCTTCGGCGATGCGTTTTTGCGACCTGGGCTGGCTCCAGGGTGTCAATTCAGTAGGGTGCAGCTCTAACACTATCGGGCAACACAAAGACGGCCTCAATCAGTATGGCAGGCGAGCAAACCCTAAAGGGAACTCCGGAAAGTTGGAATATGGTTTCAGGGTAGGATACCCTATAATTTACCATTAAGGGCTTAGGATAATCATATTCCAACTTTCTGGCTTTTACTTTAGACCCTAAACCCCAGGTTTAGGTACCAAAGCAAGACCCCACTAGAATCCCTGCCAAACCCCGTGCAGAAGCTATAAGCCGACAGAAGAAAGCCTTCAACCCGCGAAGCTATAAACCCTAGGCCCTAGCCACTGCAGACTAAAGGGAACTCCGGAAAGTTGGAATATGGTTTCAGGGTAGGATACCCTATGATTTACCTTTAAGGGCTTAGGATAATGATATTCCAACTTTCTGGCTTTTACTTACTTTAAGCCCTAAGCTCCGAACTCTTAAGGGTTGAGGGTGTAGACTACCCGAATCGCTAAACCCAGAACCCGAACCAACCTCTGTTTCCGTTCGCCCACCTCGGCCAGTGTCATAGGGATCCTCGTCGTAGCACGGGTCGTAGGTATCCACTTCGCACACATCGGGCGTGTTCCTCGGGGTTTACGATCGGGTTTAAGGTTTGGGGCTTATGCTTCGAGGTGTCTGTGTTTAAATGCCTTTGACGAAAGCCACAGGCGTTGCCTCACCAGCTGCAACATTCTGCAAGGTTCCATCTTGATTGAGGGAATTAGTCCGATGCTGGGAGAATGGAATTTCCTGGTTAACTTCTTCAATCATTTTGCGGTTAAACTATATAAACCCTCAACAGGTTAACGGTTACCTGCTCAGCTACTACGTAAAGGAAGCTCGTGTCTCGAATCTACCCCCATAGTAGTTCCTTTTTGGGGTTCATACTTAGAATCTTATGAGGTCATGCCAAAAAGGAACTACTATGGGGCCTCTGGGTAGGTCTTCTTCCAGATTCTTCCAGCCCAAGCATAGGGGCCGTCCCTCAGATGCTGAGCTCCGTGCTTCGTCCCGTCGGCAGCAGTCCAGACGCATGGGCTGTGCTTTGTCGATCCTCTTCGCAAGTTCTGGGTCTAGGGTTTAGCGTTTGGGTTTGGGTTGTCTAGGGTTTCGGGTTGAGGGTTTAGGGTATGTGTTGTCTAGGGTTTAGGGTTTAGGCATGAGGGTTTGGGCTGGGTTCCAAACACCAGAGGCACCTCACCTATGCTTCTCATTCCGGGATGGGAGTTTCCGAAAATGGGGGCCCCTAATATAGTACCCTATACAATTAAATAGTAGGATCCTTATTATAAGGACCCCAAAACCTTAAACGCAAAAAACAAAAACAGCGATTTTCGGAATCTCCGTATGCTTTGGCACAGCTCGGAAGGTGCGATGGCCTTGTGACACCTTGCTGCCATCGCAAGCAGCTTTGCCTCGGCAGAACTGGGGGTTCACCGGTAGTCTCCATTTTAATTCTTTTTTTGGTTTAACCAATTATATAATTAGGATCCTATAAGGTGACGCCAAAAAGGAACTACAATGGAGACTATAGGCAGCGTCTTAGATGTTGGGATTTATGCAATGGGTCATGCGGACTGTCACGAA